TCTCCTCATTCAGATCATGCCCACAAACTCTGGGTGTCTCACAAGGTTCTGTCCTGGGCCCTCTTCTCCTTCTATACTCTTTCACTTGGTGATCTCATCAACTCCCATTGATTTAATTACCATCTCACCCGCTGACGATTCTGTCAAATCTACCTATCCAGTCCTAAATTTGCTGCTGACCTCCAATTTTGCATCTCCAACTGCCTTTCATGCATCTCAAACTGGATGTCCAGTAGACATCTTAAACCAAAGTGTCCACAACTGAACTTGTTATCTTTCCTCCTAATCCCTCCTCCTGCCTCCCTTCCCTATCACTATAGGAGACACCACCATGCTCCCAGGCCCCTGGCTCAAAACCTAGGAGTCATCCTAGATTCTTACTATCTCTCACTTTCTATATACAATTTGTTTCCAAGGCCTGTCGACTTTACTTTTGCAAAATCTCTTTAAAATGCCTCCTTCTCTCCTCTGACACTGCCACCACTCTAGTGTTGGTTCTCATTACCCTGGATTACTTCAACAGCCTGCTGGTGGATCTACCTGCCTCAAATCTCTCTCCTCTAATCCATCTTCCATTCAGCCACTAACATGATTTTGCTAAAGCCCTAGTTCAACAATGTCACCTACCCCTTACTCAGTAATCTCCAGTGGCTCCCTATCATCTCTAAGGTCAAATATAAAATCCTCTGTTTGGCCTTCAAAGCCCTTCATCACAATCTAACACACACACACACACACACACACACACACACACACCCCTTTCCAGTCTTCTTATACCTTTCTCTCCACTCATCTTCTATCTTTGATCCAGTAACAATGGCCTCCTGGCCGATGCACAAATAAGGCCCTCAATCTCTTGACTACGGGCTTTCTCTCTAGCTGTCCCCCATGCCTAGGATAATCTCCTTCCTCAACTCTGCCTACTGACTTCCTTGGCTTCCCAGCTAAGTTACAGCTAAAATCCTATTTCTTACAGGAAGCCTTTCACAACCTCTCTTAATTTTAGTGCCTTTCCTCTGTTAATTATTTCCTATATATAGCTATATATAGCTCCTGTATATAGCTTGTCTGTACATATTTGTTTGCTTGTTATCTCCCCCATTAGAGAGTGAAAGCTGTTCAAAGCCAGGGACTGTCTTCTGCCTTTCTTTGTAGCCCCAGCACTTGGCACAGTTCCTGCAACACAGTAGGTGCTTTCTGACTGACTGAATTTCCCATTTGGGAAGATTAAAGAAGGATTTTTATTTTTTTTGGACAAGGCAAAACAGAACTATGGGTGAGGTTCTCACAAAGACAACAAACTTTTAAGGCTGAAAACCCACTTGCAACTGAAAAAATTAAAATAATAGTCATAAAAATTTCAGGATATATCTAGGGCTCACTGAGTGATCTGACAAGGTGCAATAAGTTACAATGATATAGTATACAAGGAATGAATAAAATGCTGCTTTTAATTAATGTTGCATTTTTACTGAAATGTAACTTTAACTTAAAATGCCAAGTTAAGAATCTTTCCCATGGCTTCTCTAAGTCCAGCCATTTAACTTGATTATCAGTGTAATTCAAATAGTTTAGATGTTCATATTTAGAGATGCTGAGATGGAGGCGATGAACTAAGTAAAAAATTCATTTCTGTAACTTCAGGTCTCGCAGCAAAGTGTCTTAAAACCATTTAGAGTCGACAGTTTTTAAAACTTATTTCTTTACCCAGCTGATCAATTCTAACTGTGAGCTATTTAAATTTCACAAATACACAATTATACATACCAAAATGGTGCTGGTCATCTTGCTGTTCCTCACAAATGACACTCCAACTCACCATTCTGTGTCTTTTCACGCTAGGAATGCTCTCCCTCTTCACCTCTCCCTCCTGGCTTCCTTCCAAGATCAGTTCAAATCCCACATCCTAAAGAAGGCCTTTCCCAGCGTCTCTCACACACACACACACACACACACAAAACATCCACTCAAGTGTGCATGTGCACACACTCCATTCAGTCTAAGATTATCACCTACTTCAACCAGATATTTCTCGTATGTACATTTTTTGCATGTTATATCCCCCATTAAAGCTCTTTGACAGGAGCGACCACAATTTTGTTTTTCTTTGTTTCCCCAGTGCTTAGCAAAGTATCTGAAGCACAATAAGTGCCTAATAGATGTCTGTTGACTTTTTCTCCCAAAGTGGCTTTCCCCTGACAAGTTCCTGAGTCTCTCTTCCCTCACTGCCAGCTGGTGTGTGCTCAATGAATGAAAACTCATTTTAATATTAGCCTAAGTGAACACTAATCAGGAAGGTAAATCTGCTGGAGAAAAAACTCGACACCATAAAATGAATTTAGAAATCACTCAGAACAACTACAGGATTGACCGTTGTTTTGGGTACCTTCCACCACTGCTACAATGTAATCATAGTTAATTGAAAATTGATTATGCTTTTTAATCATTTATTCTTCACAAACTTCTAATGTGATAAACTTTTTACATCAACGTAAAAATTTTAAGAATCTGGAGGATTTCTGAGAGAGGAAGAATACTGATTTGACCAAGGATCATACATTGACCACTGACTGGCTCAGAAAGAAATGCCTTCTTTAGTCTTTAATTGATACCCACAGCAACAAAAATAAACACTTCTATCAAAGTAATCCAACAGCCAGTATGTACAGCTTATGCTTCTAGCACTGGGCTTTTTATGACTTGAACACATACAAAGAAGACACTTGTCCATTTCAGCTCTCAAGAAGTTCAGATTCATTGGACAAACCCCCACTTCCAGATATTTCAAGCTAAGAGAGGATGACACCAACACCCCAGTGGCTCTGCAATTGCACTGGTATGGGCAGTACCTGCAACAAGGCAGATTGCAACCCATCCAACCGAAGTTGCACTAATCACACATCTTCAGATATGGACTTGAAGTAACTTGAGTAAGGTTACTATGATCCATGAGCGCCATAGCCATTGCAGCTCTGAAGAGGCAGCATGGGTCAGTGGACAGAATGTTTACCTAAGAAGCTGTGGTACACTGGTTAGAGCACCAGGCCTGAAGTCAGGAAGTCTGGAGTTCAATTTGGCCTCAGGTACTTATTAGCTGTGTGATGCTGGGCAAGTCATTTAATCTTTGTTTACCTCAGTTTCTTCAACTATAAAATGGGGATAACAATACCTTCCTCTAAGAGGTATTGTCAGGATCAAATAAGATACTTGTAAAAGTGCTCAGTACAGTACCAAGCATACAATAGGTGTTGTATTATTCCCCTCCCCACTCTTCTCACTTCTGCCACATTATCTGTAAGACCTTTTCATTCACCTTTCTATGCCTCAGTTGCCTCATCTATAAAATCAAGAGATTAGAGGAGATGACCTCTAATGCCCCTTCCAGTTGTAAATCTACGAATCTAGGATCCCTATCAGTGTCTTCTATAGCAGCCTTTCTCGTTAGCACAAGGTTGAAGGTCTTCTTTCCCTCCTGCAGGGAAGAAGACAGGAACCCGATACAAGAGTCATAGGTACCCAACATCACTAAACTATCCAACCTGCAAATCCATTCAGGCCTGATAACCTTGAGGCTTCATATGTTCAACCTGCACAAAATGTTGACAGCCGGTCTTCAAAGCATCCCTTGCAATCCCCTACATTTTTATGTACAAGTAACCTGTCATATTTGTATGTCATTTATGCCATGTTCCTGTCAGGCATCAGAAACAATCTTCATTTAAGTAAGCCATCAGACATGCTCCCCTGTGAATAGCTGCAGGTGTACACAGCAGCCCCCCGGCCTCCCTCCTCACACGCTGACTGGGCCACTTGGATGACAGAAAGCCTGAGTCCAGGCCTAAGTTGGCAGTGGGAGATCACGGCCCAAAAAGGAGGATCTCTCTCCCCCAACAGTCCCTTCACATCATCCATAATCTATCCTTTACTCTTTGTAATGAGCCTCAGCTTGTTCAGCAAATTCTGGCTAAAAACTGAGAGTTTAGGAACTCATTTTCAAACATTCCTCTTTCCAAGGATATCTCTGAAGGACTTTAGGGAAGCCCCATCATTTCAGGCAGCTCACAAATACAGCACCTGCACTATCCTTCAACCTGCTACCCTATGTGCCCTCACTCCTTCCTCAGGGTACAAAGCAATGTGTGAATGCTTCCAACCTTACCCCCACAACAGTCAGACAAACCATAGTTAGTAAAAACAACACAGGTTATAAAAGTAACTTATTTGGTTCAGATAATATATGCAAAGACAAATGACATTAACATGAACTAAAGTCAGCCATGATGGCTTCCCAGAGGAGACGGAACTTGAATCAAACTTTGACTAATAGGTAGGATTATGAAAAGGGGGTGCAAACACTAAAGTGCCTGGTATGGTACCTGGCACATAATAGGTGCTTAATAAAAGTTTACTGATTGACTGACTGAATGCTGGGGGAAACAACATGGACAAAAGTTCAATGGTAAAAATAAACATGAATATTGCATGTGTGAGGGGCAATAAGGAGAACAGAACTGGACTGATGTGTATACACAGGGAAGCAGGGAGAGGTGTAACTGAATATAGTTATGAAAGGGGAAGATTATGGAGGTCTTTGGACTTAATTAGTGGGAGAATGGCAAGGTGAAAGTTGTGTTATTGGAAGATTATTCTCGCAGTAATTTGCAAGACATGTAGAAAAGAAGATTCTAGAATAGAGGTTCATAACCTCACGGGTATCACAAACCACTTTGGCAGTCTGGTGAATCCTACAGACCTCTTCTCAGAAGAAGCAGGGGAAAAAATAAGGGTAAAAATACAGGAAGGATCTTTGTTGCTGGGGTTAGAAACTGAAATCTTGAAGCAACAATAAACTTCAAATATATCTGCTATCAAATTCTTACTAATTTCAGGTTTCAGAGCAAGCTACCTACCCCAAATTCCAGATCCTAACCTATATGGAAAAATTTTTTACACAAAAGAAATGTTAATGCTTAAGGATTGAAATTTCCAGTTTTACCTACCAGTGTTTATTTTTGAAGTTACATGAGTGACATCAACTTTCTGGGACCTGATGGGCGGCGTAGCACGTGAAGTAGAAGGTGTTCGTCCTATGGTCTTCTTTCGATCTATAGCTTTACTTATCTTTGAAAGAGGTGCAAAAATGCCTAAAGGAAAATACAAGTTTTGAATCATTACTAAATATCAAATTTAGTACTTCAAATAAAAAGGCCAAATTCAACTACTTAGTATTATTATCTTATCAAGGAACATTTATTTAGCACTTACTCAGTACCCAGGTTGTGAATGACACAAGAAAAATTTAAGAAGCAGTTCCTGCCTTCAAGGGACTTACAAAATAAGGAGGAAAAACTAACCATATGACACAACTTTAGAACAAAGCAGTATATGGTCTGGCAATCAGTAGTAGGGTGCAAAGTAAGTTTGGTAAAGAAAAAAAAATCAATGGAATTAAGCATTTTCAATAAATTACTTTGAAGGGGCAGCTTGGTGGCACAGTGAATAGAGTTCTGGCCTTGGAGTCGGGAGGATCTGAGTTCAAATATGGCCTCAGACACATAACACTTACTAGCTGTGTGACCCTGGGCAAGTCACTTAACCCCATTGCCTAACAAAAACAAAACAAAATTAAATAAATTGTTTTGAAGAAATTGTTCATTTAATGGTAGCACATTATATAAGGATCTTCAGAAGGCTTAGCCCTCTATTCCAGCTGGGGAGTCTTTAAGCTTTGAATAGACATGCACATGTATACACATACATAAATACATATACATACACACACACACACACACACACACACACACACACACACACACACACAATAAAAGAGAAAATACAACAAAGAGCCCCTCTCCCTCTGGGGTCTCTTGTTCATTAATACTGTTACTACTAATTCTCTAAATTCCAAAATTCTGAACCTCTTTCCTGTCTGAGCTTCTAGTACACATTGAATCTTTCTCATTTAATGCCATCTCCCTATTCTATAACTCAACCTCCTTTGTAGCTATTACCAATTATGGTATCTTTCAGACTTAATGGTAGGACACAACAGGGTTTTTCATTGTGTGCCTTCTATATGGAACCTGACACATTACTTCATATATAATAAACTAACACTAGTTTATTGAACTGAATTAGACTCTGGTACTATCATGAGGTCAGAGTCAATTTGACAGAGAGTCTGACCTATAACTTGCTAGCAGGTTTCCATTTCGCTGACATCAGCTGTGATGGACACAAATAGAAGGGTTCTTATATCCTGCAGTACAGCTGAAAAACACCTTGAAAAACACCATCTGCTTTCTACCAAGGGCAACCAAAATGACAAGAGAGAGTGGAAATGGCTCACCTACCAAGAGACTCTATTAACTGGGATGAAATTTATTTGGGGAAAAATTTTTTTTTGAACTTTAAAAGGTCATATGCCATAGGTGGTATGAGGTTTATTACAAAAGAAATGTAAGACAATGTCTACAAATCCACTAAAGTAGTATGTAAAGAGAATCTAAATTAATGGATCTGAAAAAGCTTTACAGAATGAAGGGATCAAAGTAACACTGTAGTTTTCACATAAATTTAACTTAGTTTAGATTTCTGGATTTCCTTCTGAGAAGACTTTGAAGAGTTTGTTACTACTTTTGCAACCTCGCAAATTCAATATATAAGACTCCAGCAAATAAATACCATTTGTCCAAGTAAACCACATTTTCCTCAACTTTAATGAATGGCTTCCAAGATACTTCTTGGCCATCTCCTCCCATGTATCCCACACCTCCACCCCCATTTCCAGACCCCTCTTTATATGTTGTGTCCTCTATTACAGCAGAAGCTTCTTTGTATCCTCAGAGCTTGGCAAAATACCCGGCAAACTGGCTGCTTCTACTATGTTCACCAACAAAGATTCAAAATAATTTAAGTAAAACACACTAAAAAAAAATAATAAACTAAAAGAATCCAGGTAGTCCAGAAAGGCTTTAAGATTGTTCAACAGAAATTTGTGAATGCAAATTTTAAATAACTAAATAAATTTGGAATTATTAATGTTAATAGTTGCTGCTATTTATATAATGTTGTAAGGTTTACAAAGCATTTTACAAATGTTATCTCATTTGAGTCTCACAACAAACCTGTGAGGTGGGTGCTATTTTTATACCAATTTTACAGATGAGGAAACTGAGGCACAGAGTGGTTGAATATCTTAACCAAGGTCATGCAGCCAATATCTGAGTCTGGATTTGAACTGTTTTTCTAAACACTAGATTCTGCAATGTCTCCACTCTACTACCTAGTTGCCATTGATTCTAAGTTTTAAGAGTTGTAAACAGCAGAACTTCATCTTTCCAAGAGATCCAAAGCAGGTAAGAGAAGCCCAAACTATTAATGAAAGCAATACGAGATCAAACTGTGCTATAGCCTACTCACTGTCATTAAATCCAAATGCCCATCCCCAGCACATAGATTCAGGTACATACCTGGCCATATTTCTTTTTTTATTAATTTATTTTGATTTATCAACAATCACATCCATATGCTTTTGAGTTTAAAATTTTTCTCTCCCTACCCTCCCCAAGATGGCGCACAATCTGATATAGGCTATACATATACATTCCTATTAAACATATTTTCACATTAGTGATGTTGTAAATAAGAATTAGAACCCAGCAGGAACCACCAGAAAGAGGAAACAAAACTCAACAAAAGAGGAAAAAAAACTAGCAAATAGTATGTTTCAATCTGCATTCAAATTCCATAGTTCTTTCTTTGGATGTGGATAGCATTTTCCATCCCGAGGCCTTTGGATATGTCTTAGATCCTTGTACTGCTGGGAAGGGTTAAGTTTATCAATATTAGTCATCGCACAACATGGCTGTTACTATGTACAACATAGTACATAGGTACTCTTGGTTCTGCTCACTTCACTCAACATCAGATCATACAAGTCTTTCCAGGTTTTTCTGAAATCACTGGCCCTATTTCTGAAAGAGAGGTAGCCTAGGGCCAGAAGAAGCCAAGTTCAAAGCAAGAATAAAAGAAGAGAGAAGGGTGTTGTAGATTAAGATTTAGGAGGGTGAGAAGAGAGGAAAAGGGAAGGACCCTTAGAGAAGTGGGTAGAATAAGGAATAAGAGGGATAGGATAAGAGAGATATTCTTTAAAAGGGTGTGGAATAGGGAGGTAATGGTTAGAAGTAAACTAGAGGAGGAATAGGGTAAAAAGAGAAGCTGAGAAGTATAATAGTGAGGAAAAATAGGATGGAGGGAAATACACAAATAATAATTATAACTTTGAATGTGGATGGGATGAATTCACCCATAAAACAGAAACAGATAACGGAATGGACTAAAAATCAGAATCCAACAATATTCTATTTACAAGAAACACATTTAAAATCTAAAGATACACACAAAGTTAAAATAAAGGGGTGGAGTAGAATTATGCCTCAGCCAATGCAAAAAAAAGCAGAAGTAATAATCATGATATCAGACAAAGTCAAAGTTAAAATACATTTAATTAAAAGAGATAAATAGGGAAACTACACTGTGATAAAAGGTACCATAGATAATGAAGAAATATCAATACTAAACTTATATGCATCAAATACCATAGCATCTAAATTTTTAAAAGAAAAGTTAAATGAATTGCAGATGGAAATAGATAGTAGTACTACAATAATAGTGGAACTTTAATTCTCCCCTCTCAGAACTAGATAAATCTAACCAAAAAATAAGAAAGTAGTTAAGGAACTAAACGGAATTTTAGAAAAGCTAGATATGATAGATATTTGGAGAGAACTGAATGGAAATAGAAAAGAATACACCTTTTTTCTCAGTGGTATATAGTACCTTTACAAAGACTGACCACATATTAGGGCACAAAAAATGTATAGATAAAAGCAAAAAAGCAGAAATATTAAATGCTTCCTTTACAGAACCACAATGTAATAAAAATTATATTTAATAAGGAACCATGGAAACATAGAAAAAAAGCTAATTGGAGACTAAAAACCTAACCTTAAAGAATGTATCGGTTAAAGAACAAATAATAAAAACAATCAGTAATTTCATTAAAGAAAATGACAATAATGAGACAATATATCAAAAACTATGGAATACAGCAAAAGCAGTAATCAGAGGGAAATTTGTATCTCTAAGTGTTTATATCAATAAAAAAAGGAGAAAGAGCAGACCAATGAATTGGGTGTGCAATTTTAAAAAATTAGAAAAAGAACAAATTTAAAACCCCCAATTAAACACTAAATTGGAAATCCTAAAAATTAAAGGTGAAATTAATAAAATTGTTAAGAAAAACCATTGAACTAATAAATAAAACTAGGAGTTGGTATTATGAAAAAAATCAATAAAACAGATAAAACATTGGCTAATATGATTAAAAAAGGGGAGAAAACCAAATTACTAGTATAAAAAATGAAAAGAATGAATATACCACTAAAGAAGATGAAATCAAAGCAATGATAAGGAGTTGTTTTGCCCAATTACATACCAATAAATTTAACAACTTAAGTGAAATTGAAGAAATTACAAAAATACAAACTGCCTAGATTAGCAGAAGAAGAAAGAGAATACTTAAATAGACCTATTTTAGAAAAAATAATTGAACAGGACATGAATGAGCTTCCTAAGGAAAAAATACCAGGACCAGATGGATTTACAAGTGAATTCTATCAAACATTTAAAGACCAACTAATTCCAATATTAAATAAATTATTTAGAATAATAGACAAAGAAGGGGTCTACCAAACTCCTTTTCTGAAACAAACATAATACAGATACTAACCTAGGAAAAGTAAAATCAGAGAAAGAAAATTATATACCAATTTCATTAATGAATATGGATGCAAAAATCCTAAATAAAATACTAGCTACAAGATTACAACAAAATATTACAAAGATTATACATTATGACCAAGAAGGATTCATACTAGGAATGCAGCAATGGTTTAACATAATGAAAACTATCAACAAAATTGATTATATCAATAATAAAAGTAACAAAAATCACATGATAATATCAACAGATGCAGAAAAAGCATTTGATAAAGTTCAATACTTACTTCTATTAAAAAAACACTTGAAAGTATAGGCTTAAATGAACTTTTCCTTAAATTGATAAGAAGCATTTACCTAAAACCATCAGCAAGCATTATTTGTAATGGGGATAAGCTAGGAGCCTTCCCAGTAACATCAGGTGCGAAACAAGGATGCCCATTGTCACTAATATTATTCAATACTGTACTGGAAATCCTAGCAATAGCAATAAGAGAAGAAAAGCAGAGAGAAGGAATCAGAATAGGGAAAAAGGTAATAAAAGTATCTTTTTGCAGACGATATGATGATACACTTGGAAAATCCTAACGACTAAGCTAAAAAATTAATTGAAATAATTAATACAAAGTAGCAGGATATAAATTAAACCCACATAAATCATCAGCATTCCTATATATCACCAATAGGATGCTGCAGGAAGAGATAGCTAGAGATACCCCAACATAAAATAACTCTAGATGGTATAAAATATCTGTATACACCTACCAAAACAAACTCAGGATCTACATGAACAAAACCATAAAAAACTTTGCACATAAATAAAATCATATTTAAATAAATGGAGAAATATTAATTTTTCATGGGTAGGAAGAGCCAATATAATAAAAATGATAATTTTGCCAAAATTAATCTATATATTCCATGATATCCCAATCAAATTACCAAAAAATTACTTTATGGAGCTAGAAAAAAATAGTAACAAAATTCATGTGGAAGAACAAAAGGTCAAAAATATCAAATAATGGAAAAAAATGTAAAGGAAGGTGGTTTAGCAGTACTAGATCTTAAACTATATTATAAGGCAGTAATTATCAAAACTATCTGGTACTGGCTAAGAAACAAAAAGGTAAACCAGTGGAACAGAGTAGACACATAATCTACAGCAGCACACAAATATAGTAACCTAGTGTTTGACAAGTGTAAAGACTTGAGTTTTGGGGATAAGAATTCATTATTTGGTAAAAATTGTTGGAAAAGCTGGAAAGCAGTCTGGCAGAAATTGGGAATAGATCAGTATCTTAAACCATTCATCAAGAAAAGGTCAAAATGGATACATGACCTAGATAATAAAGGGAGATATTAACAAGAAAATTTGAAGAACATGGAACATATTACCTATCAGATTTATGGATAGGTGAACAATTTATGAATAAACAAGAGATATAGAGCACTGTGAGATGAAAAATGGATAATTTTGATTACATTAAATTAAAAAGGTTTTATACAAATAAAATAAATGTAGCCAAGGTCAGAAGGAAATCAGAAAACTGAGAAAAAAATTTTATAGATAGTTCCTCAGATAAAGGTCTCATATTTCAAATATATAAAGAACTTTGTCAAATCTAGAAGAATGCAAGTCATTCCCCAATTAATAAATGGTCAAAGGATATGAACAGGCAGTTTTCCGATGAAGAAATCAAAACAATTTATAGTCCTATTAAAAAATGTTCTAAGGATGCCCATCAATTGGGGAATGGCTGAGCAAGTTGTGGTATATGAATGTGATGGAATACTATTGTGCTATAAGAAATGTTGAACAGGCTGACTTCAGAAAAACCTGGAAAGACTTGTATGGTCTGATGCTGAGTGAAGTGAGCAGAACCAAGAGAACGCTGCACACAATAACAGCCACGTTGTGTGATGACTAATATTGATAAACTTAACCCTTCCTGGCAATACAAGGATCTGAGACATCTCCAGAGGCCTTGTGATGGAAAATGCTATCCACACCCAAACAAAGAACTATGGAAGCCAAATTGTTATTTTTTTTCTCTTCTGTTGAGTTTTGTTTCCTCTTTCTGATAGTTCCTCCTATTGGTTTTAATTTCTACTTACAACATCACTAATGTGAAAATATGTTTAATATGAATGTAAATGTATAGCCTATATCAGACTGTGCGCCGTCTTGGGGAGGGTGGTGGGGAGGAAGGGGGAGAAAAATTTTAAACTCAAAAGCATATGGAAGTGATTATTGATAAATCAAAATAAATTAATAAAAAAAGGAAGAAAAAATAAAAAATGTTCTAAATCATTACTGATTAAAGAAATGCAAATTAAAACAACCTTGACATATCATTTTACACCTATCAGATTGGCTAAAATGATAGAAGGGGAAAGTGACAAATATTGGAGGGGATATATGGAAGGGGATATGGAAAAACTGGGACCTTAATTCATTGTTGGTGGATCTGTGAGCTGATCTAAGATTTGGAATTATGCCCAAAGAGTTATTAAACTGTCTATACCCTCTAACCCAGCAATACCACTATTAGGTCTGTTCCCCAAAATGATTAAGGAAAAAAGAAAAGAACCTATATGCTCTAAAATATTTATAGCAGCTCTCTTTGCGATAGCAAAGAACTGGAAATTGTGGAGATGCCCGTCAATTGGGGAATGGCTAAACAAACTGTAGCATATGTTCATGATGTAATATTACTGTGTTGTAAGAAATGATGAGCTCAATGATTTTAGAAAAGCATGGACAGACCTCCACAAAATAATGAATAGCAAAATGAGCAGAACCAAAAGAACACTGTATACAGTAACAGAAGTATTATTTTAAGAACAACTTTGAGCAACCAAGTCATTGTGACTATTATAAATACCCAAATTAACAGTGAAGATCCTATGAAGGAAAATGCTGTTTAAATTCAGAAAAAGAAAATAAGCATATACAGATTTGTGTCTAATGGAAACCATCTTGAAGTTGAGGGGGGAGGCGGGGAAGGAAATTACACGATAACTTTGTTGTACATTTAAAAGGAATAGAAAGTTGTACATAATGGATCTGCAATTTCAGGTGCAATCCTCTGTTTTTCTATCCCACTTTGTTATGGAAATGTTTGCTTTATTTTTTAAGTTCAGAATAAAATAAATAAAATTTTAAAAAAGAAGAAGAGAAAACACAATAGAAAAGAAATGGAGAGTAGAGCCAGAATAAGAGGATGAATAGAGTCTGTATTTCTCTTGACAATATGGATTTTCTATTCATCCCTGAATTATTCCCAATCCCAACTATTCCAGAAGTAACACATAAGATCATTTTTCCTAGCAAATGATGCACCATCCACACAAATATACCATAAAGCTATTAAATTTATAATCAATTCCAAAGACTCTACCTATGGTACAAGAACTATTCCCCCAGCTAAAAGGAAAAAACAGCCATGTTCTACAAAGAAGGATTCTGTGTCTGTTAGAATGGGGAACATTTAGTATGGATAACACAGAAAATCATCAACCCAGATAATGGAAAATTAACTGTAACTGTAATATATTACCCATCTAGTGTAGGGACTCTAAATTGTTTTTGGTTGTTGTGAATTGTTCCCAATTAAGTTAGATTAATATCTTACCGTATTTAGGAGGACATTTAAAGTACTGGACTTTCCCAACACTTCCGTTATTCTTTCCTTCTGGTTCACTCAACTCAATGCCAGCCCACTGCCCACTGGCAAATTCAGTTGTACCACAAAATCTTAATATTCCAACCTATGGATACAAAACTAGATTAATTTTTGATAATTATAATTAATTCAGAAAAATGCCTATAACCAAATACTTTTCTTTAGGAGTAAAAACAAAATTCCATTCTGAAAGATTATAAGACTACCTGAGATGACTGAATAGTAATCTGAATTAAAACTGTTACGTTTACAATCTTTATAATTTGCTAACACTTTCACAACACACACACACACACACACAAATTTAAGCCTTGTAAGTAATATCTACCCTTCCCCAAGGACAAGTTTTAAGTGAGATTTTTTTAATGCCCTATTCTAAAGAGGAGCTCTGGGAATCTCATCTCTGAGCACTTCTGGAAGGAATGTTAGCACAGAGAAGGGGCTTCCATTTTAAACCTCACAGCAAAAAGGTTGCCCAATATCAAGAGCAGAGGGGCAGCTAGGTGGTAGAGTGGATAGAGCACTGGCCCTGGATTCAGGAGGACCTGACTTCAAATCTGGCCTCAGACACATAACACTTACTAGCTGTATGACCCTGGGCAAGTCACTTAACCCCACTGCCTAGAGAAAAAATATATATAGATATAGATATAGATATATATATATACACCTATATCTATATCTATAAATATATATATATCAAGAGCAGAGAATAAACTCCCTTTCCTGAGAAAATTAGAAAATAGAAAGAGTACTGAAAAAAAGGAGAGTTTCCAAGGAAAATCAAATACCAAAGTTTATGTTGGGGACAACATATCCTTTACTCCTAACATACATGATTTCTACATTTGTGGGGTTCCTAGAATTCCCCCATGAAAAACTCAGCACTTAAAATTCTTGTTGGATAAGGAGTAGGAAAAATATTATTTTTTAAAATTAATAAAGGAAAATTCCCCCAAATCCTCCTCTATTCACATCGACCTTAGTCCAATCTTCTTCCATCCAAGTGGCTAGATTATTTTAATTAAAATTTTTAAACATAGTTTACGATTTTAAAATCTCTTTGTTACACTGCTATTCTCAACCAAATTTCACATTTTCTACTAGTTGGTTTTTTAAATAAATAGGTAATTTAATCTCAAACCCATGACATGAAGGCCAGAGAACACGTTAGTGATTTGAATCGCTTTACCTTCTGTCCTGCGATGATCACACGATCTCCCAACTTCAGGCCCAATGATGTAAGTATGTCTTTGCCAGATGTAGGATCATAATTTGGAAGTGTGGCCTTTGAGACGTCGCACAACAAAGGGACAGCATCCAACAGCATTTGCTTGATTTGTTTAGCGCTGGCAGCTGCATCTGCCATCTCTAATGGCATATCAACTGGGTCTGGAACAACATCAGCAGGGATCTGTCCTTTGTCATTCTACAGAGAATATTAAAAGACAAATGTCACAGCTTAAAATCAACTTAAAAAAGATATATTGTGTCTGCTTTATGCAAAGAACTATGTTAGGTACTTAAAGGGATACAAATATAAATGAAACATAGTCCCTATCCTCCTCTGTAATAAAAATAGAAACAGAAGAAAATAAATATTTTTAAATAGGCATTACTAAACCTTGCAACATTATTCTATCACACAAAAATAACTTTGGAAGAATTTAGAAGTTCACCTTTGCATTTCAGGAACAGGACAAAAATAGCCCAGAACATGCTCCTATATAAAGAATTTGAGTGAGGTCAGTGACAATGGACAAACTAAAACCCTAAAATGTCCCTATGTCCTGGGCTCTTATCCTGGCTTTTCTGTGGTTTGGGAAGGTATCAAAAACTCCCTCCTTTCCTCAGAATTCTTTCCCTCTGCCTTTAGACATTTTCTGGTTTTGTCATATGGGGGTTTTTTTAAGTATTCTAAAATCTCCCCAACTACTGTTGTTTAGAATTACTATGGTCAGAGAATAATCTATAGTAAGTTAGGTCAGCTCGGGTCACAGATTTCCTACAAAAAGTCTCCAACTCATAACAACAGTGGAGGTGGCCCAAGACAGAAGGGATTTTGATCAGTAGGCTGAGACAGCCAGGAAGGTGGAAAGAGGACAGAAAGGAAAGGAAAGACTTGAGAGTATTAGTGAAGATGATGTTAAGAGAAGTAATCTTAAAATTAAAATAAACCCTAATGCTGAGTGAAGTGAGCAGAACCAAGAGAATTTTGTACACAATAACAGCCACGTTGTGTGATGACTAATATTGATAAACTTAACCCTTCCTGGCAATACAAGGATCTAAGACATCTCCAGAGGCCTTGTGATGTAAAATGCTATCCACACCCAAACAAAGAACTATGGAAGCCGAATTGTTATTTTTTTTCTCTTCTGTTGAGTTTTGTTTCCTCTTTCTGACGGTTCCTCCTATTGGTTTTAATTTCTACTTACAACATCACTAATGCGAAAATATGTTTCATATGAATGTAAATGTATAGCCTATATCAGACTGTGTGCCATCTTGGAGAGGGTGGTGGGGAGGAAGGGGGAGAAAAATTTTAAACTCAAAAGCATATGGAAGTGATTATTGATAAATCAAAATAAATTAATAAAAAAATTTAAAAATTTAAAATAAACCTTAAAAACTTAAAATCAAAGAACTACTCTTAAGGTGCTTACAATGTAATAAGGTAGAAACACCTATGTATAAAAACGATACCAGTAACGTGATATATGCCATAAGATAGGGTAAACTGAAGATGACCTTGAACACCACACAAAAAAGGAAAATCATAAAAAATTTCTGAGCAAAAATACGGCATGATCAATACAAAACTCTAGGAAAGTTAATGTAGCAGCAAATAAACGAATAGATCCTAAAGATGAATGAGTAGCAGTAGGGAAACAGTGAGCAAGTCAATGCACACATGAGGTAACAAAATCCTAAACTACAGTTCCTAGGAACTAATCAGTTCCTAACATTGAGTAAAATCAAACTACACAGGTATTTTGGATTAGGAACTTTCATACAATAGTCATAATAGCCACTCAGCATTAGAGCCAAGAATTTAAAATACCATTTAATATTCCAAGAAACAAAAGAAAATAAAAGGAAACCTTAAATATTTCAAACAATCAATTAACATTTATTAAATACCTATTATGTGCCAGGCACTGTGCTAAGTGCAAGGGATAGAAAAAGAGGGAAAGGAGAATCCCTGGTATAAGACTTCTCAGGAGGAGAAATCCAAAGTGGCAAGAGTATATATAATTATCACTGATCATAAGATGGAAGAACTCAAAATATTTATGAAGCCCGTGCATTTTTCTAATCAATGGCAAATTAAAGAATAATAAGGCTTCATCTTTTTCCAGATGAAGTAAATGAATCCCCATAAAGCTGAAATGATTTTCCCATGATCACATTGCAAAGTAGTTGCAGAACTGAGACTAACATCCAGGTCTCCTAGATCCCACTCTAATGCTCTTCTACTCTACCATGCTTCCCAATTTCTCAACTGAGTTTCAAACCTTGCTTTGCACATAAGAAAATAAGAAACAAATAGTAACAACAAGAACTCTTCTAATGTCTTAGGAACTATAGTCTAGGTTCTTCCATAAGGCATTCAGTAAAAGCTTGCCAAACCACTTGCAAAATACACTTTAAAAACCCATTCTTTCATTGGAATACAGTGTTCCCTCCTACTGATGGAGACCAGAACCTCCCTGCACATTTGTAGATAATATTCATAGGTTACAAAAAATTCATCAACAAGTAGCCAGCCTTCTGGGGATGACTCTCTCTTAAAGCAATTTCACCAGGCTGGATAAATAGCACTGAGCCTACACTCAAAGTTCTTCCAGATTGGTAGGATCTGTCATAGCTTGAACTGCACTGGCATATCCTTCAAGGACCTCCCAGGATCACCTCTTAACCATGAAAAGACATGAGCATAGACTACTACTACCACAGCCTCCACAAATGGATCTGAAGTAAGGGAATCTCAGGTCACAACCCAAGTCTACCATTTACTACCTATGTGACATTAAGAAATAATAGTAATAATATTTATATAATGCTTTAATGTTTTACAAATATATCATTTTGCTGGGCCTCAGTTTCCTTATCTGTGAAAAAAAGAGGTTGATTACATGACTTCAAAGGTTCATACCAATTACAAATCTATTATCCTACTAAATATAAAGTAAATGATTATACATATTGACCCAAAAATACCTATAAGTATGCTTCAGTTTAGATATTCTCATACAAGAATAAATATCCAAGTGATTTCAAATTTATATTTTCTAAAAAAAAATTTAAATATCATGAAGCTACAAAAAGGATTACACAAGACCTAGCAGCTACTACATTGAAGGATCGTAGGTCTTGGAATACTATATTCCGTAGAGCAAAAGAGCTGGGGTTATGACCGAGGGCAACTTACCGAGCAAAGTTAAGTATAATCTTGAATGAAAAAACAATAGACATTTAGCAAACTCAAAGACTTTCAGGTTTTTGTGACAAAAACCCTGGAGCTTAAGGGAAAATCTGACATACAACATCCAGGAGAAATATAAATATTAAAGACCAATTATAAAGGATGCAATAAGGTCAAATTGTTTACTTCATATATGTAAAAATATCAGCAGTACTCTTATGATTGTCATCATCATTTGGGTAGTCTGAAAGAAGGCCTGGGATGAGCTGAGTAGGATGGAGTGGTTCTAAAAAAATAAAACTGTATAGCGAGAGATAAAAAGGAGTAATTATCTCATACAAATGAGGCATAAAAGGAAAAACTGATACAAAAGAAGCTAGTAGGGGGATATATATACCCTTCAAAGAGGACATAGGTCTCTTCCATGAAATTGGACTCTTACCCTAAAGGCAGGATTTGCTCCATGTTCCAGTAAACACTTGACGGCTCCCATGCACAAGTTAAATGCTGCAATATGCAGAGCTGTTCCAAAAGCAAAGTCACTGCATGTAGCGTCCACATCTACAATTAAACATCACAAGTGTGTTAACTCCTCATTCATCTATAGACATAAGAAAAAAACAATGCAGTATTTTATTTTGAAGAACTCTTTCATCATGATGAAATAAAATATAACTATCCTTCCTGAAAGACAGCTTCACCAAAAGGGAAAAGAACTCTGTATTACATCCAGCCGGACTCTCAATGGTCAGAACATGATACAATGAAATCCATCTGTCTGACCAAAAGCTACAATGGGCTTTTTGAATGTCACCAACAAAGCTACTCCTTAAGATCATAAGCTCAATCTGCTGAGCTCGATACATGCACTGCTCAATAGGTTCAATTTTGATTTTTCACTATTTCACATTTGTAAAAATAATGGAACAGGATTTCTGGTGCCAAGATGGCAGAGGAAGGAAGGAACCCTATGAAGCCCTCCCAAATTCTCCTCCAAACAACTAGAAAACAGCCTCAGAATTGGTCTAGGAGCAGGGAAGCAGCTTACCAACACAGCAGGAAAAGTCTGTCTCACTGGAGTGAGAGGGGAATGAGGTCCAAGAGCAGCAGCAGGAGCCAGCCTCACAGCAGGGGGCCTGCAGAGGCCCCCCCCCCCAAGTCTGGGGCAATCCACCAGTAAGGCCCTCCTGTAAGCCAGCAGCCCCCCAGGCAAGTGAGCAGTCTGTGCAGCACAGCAAGGCCCCAAGCCCAGCAACCCACCAATCAGGCCTTGACCTCACTACTGATCCAGTAGTGAAGACCCTCCCTAGCCAACAGTGAGACCCCATCCCTGAGGCCTGCCAGCAGAGAGACTCTGTTTCCACAGCAACCCAGCAGCAGGCTACCCCTGGGACACTCCAGCAACAAGATCCCTCCTCCAGGGCCAGCCACCAGAAAGCCTCTGTTACCATCAGCAAGGCCCCACTCCTGGGGCAGGCCAGCAGCTAAACCCTACACCCAGGAGAGACTCTAACCCCTAGTACAAGCCAGAAGGGAAGCCTACCCTCCAGAGAGAGCAAACAGCTAAGCCCTTAAGCCCTGTGAAAGCCAGCAGTAAGACCCAGAGCTCTAGCACAAAAACCTTGGGACAGTGTATGACCAGAGCTCAATTCTCACATAAAAACACCAAATCTCTCACACACTCACACAGGCAGGAAACATGAGCGAAACAAAAAAAAAAAAAAAAGAGCTTGATTATGGAAAGTTACTATGATGACAGGGAGGATCAAAGCATAAACTTCGAAGAGTACAACAGTATCAAAATGGCTCCATGTGAAGCCCTAAAGAAAAATGTAATTTGGTCTCAGATCCAAAAAGAATTCCTGGAAGAGTTTTAAAAGGAGTTTAAAAAGCAAATTAGAGAAGAAGAAAAATTGGGAAAAGAAATGAGAGTAATGCAAGAGAATCATGAAAAAAGAGTCAATAGCAATGGACAAGATATACAAAAATTTACTGAGGAAAATAACTCCCTAAAAAATAGAATGGGGCGGGGGGGGGGCAACTAGCTGGCACAGTGGATAGAGCACCGGCCCTGGAGTCAGGAGGACCTGAGATCAAATCCGGCTTCAGACACATAACACTCACTAGTTGTGTGACTCTGGGCAAGTCACTTAATCTCAACTGCCTCGCAAAAAAAAAAAAAAAAAAAAGAACTGGCCAAATGGAAAAAGAAGTATAAAAACCCACTGAAGAAAATAATTCCTTAAAAATTAGAATTGAATACGTGGAAACTGATGACACTATAAAACATTAAGATATGATAGAACAAAATCAAAAAAGTAAAAAAAAAAAAAAAAAGTAAAAGAAAATGTGAAATTTCTCATTGGAAAAACAAATGACCTAGAAAATAGATCTAGGACACATAACATAAGAATTATTGAACTACTTGAAATCCATGATTGAAAAAAAAAAAAAAAAAGCCTGGACAACATCTTTCAAGAAATTATCAAAGAAAACTGCCCTGACATATTAGAACCAGAGGACAAAATAGAAATTGAAAGAATCCACCAATCGCTGCCTGAAAGAATCCAAAAGGAAAACTCTCAGGAACATCATAGCCAAATTCCAGAGATCACAGATCAAGAAAAAAGTTTTACAAGCAGCCAAAAAGAAACAATTCAAATATCATGGATTCAAAATGGATATCAAATGGATATCAAACGGATATCAAACGGATAATCAAAATGGATATCAAAAATCAGTATTACACAGAATTTGGCAGCTTTTACATTAAAGAACCAGAGGGCTTAGAATATGATATCCCAGAAGGCAAAGGAGTTAGGATTACAACTAAAGATCATCTACCCAATAAAACTGAATATAATCTTTCAGGGGGGAAAAAATGGCATTTAACAAAATAGAGGATTTTCAAGCATTTCTAATTAAAAGACCAGAGCTGAATAAAAATATTTGACCACCAAGTACAAGACTCCAGGGAAACATAAAAAGGTTAAAAAAGAAACACCAAAGAGAAAACTTAAGAAATTCAATAAGATTAAACTGTTTATATTTCTATATGGCAAGATAATATTTGTAACTCTTTAACAACTTTATTACTATAAGAGCAATTAGGAGTATATGTGGACAGAGGGTATGGATATAAAGTGACTTTGATGGGATGATACCAAAAAACAAAATAACAAAAGAAAGGGTGAGAAAGAAATTGGAAGAAGGAAGGGGGAGATTGAATGGAGTAAATTATCCCACATAAAAGAGGCATGAAAGAGCTATTATAATGGAGGGGAAGATTGGGGTGGGGAGGTGAGCAAAGCTGAAAACCTTACTCTCATCAAAACTGACTCAAAGAGGGAACAATATACACACTCAGTTAGATATAGAAATCTTTCTTACCCTATAAGGAAATAAAAAGGGACAGGGATAAAAGAATGGGGAGAGGGGACTGATAAAAGGGAGGGTATATTGGGGAAGGCAGTGATCAGAAGTAAAACACTTGTGAAGAGGGAAAGGGTGGGGGGTAAGAGAGAAAGGGGGATAAATAAGTGAAAAATAGCATGGAGGGAAATATACAGTTACCATAACTACAAATGTGAATGGGATAAATTCACCCATAAAGCAGAATCGGATAGCAGAATGGATTAAAAACCATAATCTTACAATATGCTCGTTTACAAGAAACACATTTGAAGCAGAGATACACACAGAGTAAAGGTAAGGGGCTAGAGCAGAATCTATTATGTTTCAGCTGAAGCAAAGAAAGCAGGAGTAGCAATCATGATCTCAGACAAAGCAAAAGCAAAAATAGATCTAATTAAAAGAGATAAAGGAGGAAACTATATCTTGCTGAAAGGTACTACAGACAATAAAGTCATATAAATACTAAATACAACAAATGGTACAGCATCTAAATTTTTGAAGAAGTTGGATGAGTTACAGGAGGAAATAGATAATAAAACTCTACTAGTGGGGGACCTCAAATTTGCCCTCTCAGAACTATATAAATCTAACTAAAAAATAAACAAGAAAGAAGTTAAGGAGGTGAATAAAATTCTGGAAGAGTTAGATGTGATAGACCTCTGGAGAAAATTGGATGGGAAAAGAAAGGAATATACCTTTTTCTCAGCAGTACATGGCACCTAACAAAAAAATGGCCATGTATTAGGACATAAAAACCTAACAACTAAATGCAGAAAAGCAAAAATAGTAAACGCATCCTTTTCAGATCATAATGCAATAAAAATTACATTCAACAATGGATAATGGAAAGAGATACTAAAAATTAATTGGAAATTAAATAATCTAATCCTAAAGTACAAGTAGGTCAAGGAACAACTCATAGAAATAATCAATAATTTCATTTTAAAAATGACAACAATGACACAACATACCAAAATTTATGGGATGCAACCAAAGCAGTACTGAGGGGACAATTTCTCTCTCTAATTACTTACATCAATAAAATAGAAAAAAAGCTGGTCAATAAATTGGGCATGCAACTAAAAAAAAAAAAACTAGAAAAAAGTTTAAGATCCCCAATTAAACACCAAATTGGAAATCCTGACAATCAATGGAGAGATTAATAAAACTGAGAGTAAGAAAAGCACTGAACTGATAAATAAAACTAGAAGCTGGTTTTATGAAAAAACAATAAAATAGATAAACCATCGGTTAATTTGATTTAAAAAAGGAAAGAAGAAATCTAAATTACTAGTATCAAAAATGAAAGAGGTGAATTCACCACAAATGAAGAGGAGATCAAGAGAATTAATAGGAGCTATTTTGCCCAATGATATGCCAATAAAGTTGATAATCTAAATGAAATGGATGAATATCCACAAAAATATAAATTACCCTGGAGGGCTTAGAATATGATATTCTGGAGGTCAAAGGAATTAGGGTTACAACCAAGAATCACCTACCCAGCAAAACTGAGCATTATCCTTCAGGGGAAAAAATGGACATTCAGTGAAATAGAGAGGACTCTCAAGCATTCTTGATGAAAAGACCAGTGCTGAATAGAAAATTTGACTTTCAAATACAAGACTCAAGGGAAGCATGAAAAGGTTAACAGGAAAGAGAAATCATAAGGGACTTATTAAAGTTGAACTGTTTACATTCCTACATGGAAAGATGATATTTGTAACTCATGAGACCTTTCTCAGTATGAGGTAGTAGGAGGGAATATATATAGACAGAGGGTACAGGGTGGGTTGAATATGAAGGAGTGATATCTAAAAAATAAAATGAAAGGGTGAGAGAGGATTGTACAGGGAGAAGGAGAAAGGGAGAGGTAGAATGGGGTAAATTATCTCACATAAAAGAGGAAAGAAAAAGCTTTTACCATGGAGGGAAAGAAGGAGGAGGTGAGAGGGAATGAATGAAATCTTACTCACATCGGATTTGACTTAAGGAGGGAATAACATACACACTGAAGTGGGTGTGGAAATCTATCTTACCCTACAGGAAAATAGGGGGGAAGAGGAGAAGAGAGGGGTGGATGATAGAAGGGAGAGCAGACTGGGGGAGGGAGTAATCAGAAGCAAACATTTTTGAGGAGGGACGAG